TTTATTTGCATTTTTGGGTGAAAAACGAATCAAATAAACTTATTACAAAGCATATTAATTAGCAAATTTGACTTTTTCATACTTCTAAATGAAATAAAATCTTTTAACTTAGTACAAAATAGCTAATAAACAAATAATTCATAAATGCAATATTGTTAACTAGTACAACGCCCGTATATTACACGAGTACTTGCTAATTTTTTCCTTAAAATATAAAATTAATGAGAAAAGTAGTTGAAAAATTAATCACCTTTTATAAATATATATATATATATATTATATATTTAGTATGACACTTTTTATTTGTATGACTTACTTGTGTTATATTATAATAATTTTTTTTAACTTACAACATATAACTGCATTAAACATAAATATATCAACTGAGAATAATTTATTTTTCTAATAAATTTTAATAAATATTATTATTTTTTATTATTATAAAGATAAATATAATTTATTTATTTTATATATACAATATGGATGTCAAATCGAAGATCATGAAAAGATTATTAATTTGATATATTATATATGTAAAACCGATATGAAATACAAAATTTATCAATTTTTAAAATACATATATAATTCAATAGCTAATTGAAGGAAACAAATCAAAAGTCATGGATATATTAGTCACTTAGTGTCTCACTATGTAAAATTATAAAAAATTAAAGGGTTATATTAGTACAAGTGATATTAAAATACATAAGTTAGCTACATAATATTTATGGAATGTCCGAACCTAGATTATTAATTATTAATATATCAATATTACTTGTTTAAACCTAATTACGAAACATGATTCTTCGCCAAGTAGGATTTCGAAGCACCAGAAGCAGCCACGTAGGCTCAGTGCATTCATGAATTATATATAAAGGGAAGGGGATTATTTATATCTTATCATATCATGGACGGTGCAGAATTAAGGAGCAAACCAAGTTTAGGGTTTGAAGGCCCATATTTATTTACAATTCTGTAAAATGGGCCCACTTTCAAGTCCAATTATGTAAACCTATTTGAAAAACCACCATAGTCAATTCAAGATTCTGAACTGAAGTCAAACACACTTCAAATCTTCACAGATTTTCAATTTTTGCTTTACCAATAATAATTCTCTACTTTTCTAGAAAATAAAAGAGCAAAAAATAAAAACAATTCTATGGTAGATTATGTACAAAGTGAATAATATAGTAGAATCACTTGTAGTTATGCATTTAGGGTTTTTTATTTAGGTCGAGTCGAGTCGAGTGGTTCATGTTATAATTTAAATCTCATGAAAAAGAATAGAATAAAAGTTGTCCGTGAGCAAAATTCAACTCGTTAATAAACGAGTTCAATTAATTGCCAAATGCAAATACAGCTCGTGTAAGCTTTCACGAGCCGAATATAACTTTGTTCGCGAGCAACTGAGTTCAAATAACATTTCTAATTTCATACATTTCATGATACATATGCATAATGCACCATATCCCATATGCCCATACATATAGATGGCCAGTCAACAAGCCGGGCCGGCTGCCTCCTACGGGTGACCCGGGCCCGTGAACCGACTATATCCCGGCTCTGTCCCGACTCGATTCCTTGCCTGCCGGAACAAAAAATAGAAAAATCGGTCCCAGACAAGACCCTTAAAACCACGGTGACGGTTCTCGGAACCGGCAACTTACAGGCTGGTTGCGGGCCAAGCCAGAACTGGGTCGATTCCAGGTCGGCCCGTGACCATATCTACCCATATTACAAAAATAAGAAAACCCCCAAAACAAAAAGAGAACACCAAAAAGAAAAAAAAAAGAAAGAAAAAAAAAAACATAAATGATTATACCTTGACAGAGGAGGAGAGAGATATTTGGTGTAGTAGTAGGACTGTAGGTGTAAAGATTACATTTTTTCTCCTATTTTCTTGATAATTTTTTTTTTTTTTTTTAAAAAAAGGTCATATATTGGCTTAATTGCAAGTTTTTACAACCTCTCATTTGCCTAAAAATAGCCCTGCTAAAACCCTGCTTGCAATAAAGACGGCCCCTCTGAGTTCCATTTATTCTATTCAGTCTTTTCACTGTTTTTGTGTCATCTTTATTGCCTGCTTTCTTTGTGCATAGTAAAACCTTTTCTCCCAATTTTTCTCATAATAAATGCACATCTCAGTTTGTTTGGTGTGGTCCGTGTGGATCATACACAAACAAAGAATCCTAATGCTAATCTATTACACATAAAGCCACAATTTTTTTTTTTTTTTTTTTTTT